CTTGGGGTGTATATTTTTTTGCACCCACCTTCTTTTAATTTTTGTGATTGGAAGTTGTTTCAAACTGCTTTTTAATATTGTGTTTTAATGTTGTAACCCAGCCTGGGACTCTAGGGTGAAGGGGCGGGTAATAAACAACAAAAAAGAGAGTAAATAATACAATAGCAAACAACCTGTGGCTGTTTTAAAAAGTGCCACCCCTACTACATGCTGCGACTGTTTACTTGCAAAGGTAGGTAATATCGGGAGGAATAAAACAGCCAAATCAGTTCTGTTTGCAACATCCTGCAGAGAGAAGGATTACACCTCTTGAGTGTTTGAAACATTGTTCTGAGGATGCTGAGCTAAAGCCTGGGAAACTGGATCCATCCCTCTATTGAAGTCATACAGAACATGTTCTCACAGAGTGGAAGGAAACAGCCTTGGTGTTTGGGCGTCATGGCGACGGCGATGAGACAAGCAGCGGCCGAGATGGGGCAACGGCAGTTGCCTGTCCTGGTTCCTAACAGAATCACAGCATTCTCACTTGCAATGGAAAGCAGAGGGCAAGTCACCCATGATCATTACAGCTCTGGGCCTGATGCCACAACTGCAAGCCACTTGTGGGACTTCTGTGAAAACAGGGGGCTGCACCTGCCAACCCACCCAGAAATGTCTCCGCTGCAGGATGCAGGTTGAGAGACGCTGGGCAGATAGTCACAACTCCCAGAGAGGCTTAACAAGTACCCTCCAACATTTCTCCGATGAAAATAGGGACGTCCTATTCCATCGTTGTTATTTTTGTTGTTGTTGTTACTGTTATTTTATTATTTATACTGTACACCACCCATCTGACTGGGCTGCCCCAGCCACTCTGGGCAGCTTCCTACATTATAAATAAATAAATAAATAAATAAATAATTTATTATTTATACCCCGCCCATCTGGCGGGGTTTCCCCAGCCACTCTGGGCAGCTTACAATGAAATATTAAAATACAATACTCTGTTAAACATTAAAAGCTTCCCTGAACAGGGCTGCCTTCAGATGTCTTCTAAAAGTCTGGTAGTTGTTGTTCTCTTTGACTTCTGGTGGGAGGGCATTCCACAGGGCGGGTGCCACTACCAAGAAGGCCCTCTGCCTGGTTCCCTGTAACTTGGCTTCTTACAGCGAGAAAAACACAATAAAAATAAAAACACAATAAAACATTAAACATTAAAAAAACACAACTTCCGTATCCAGGGCTCCCTTCAGTTGTCTTCTAAAGGTTGCATAGATACTTCTCTCCTTCCCTCAGGGGTCGCAATAACTCCATGCCTTCCAACATTTCACCGATGAAAATAGGGGCGTCCTAACAAAATGTGGGACATTCCGGGATCAAATCAGAAACTGGGATGGCTTCTGTAAATCCGGAACTGTCCATGGAAAATAGGGGCACTTGGGAAGGTCTGTACTTCACAGCTAACTCTGAGAATTGAAGCTCAGTGAGTGCCTAACAACTATCAGCACCCCTAACAAAATACAGCTCCCAGAATTCTTTGTGGGAAACTTAAAAGTGGCGCCATAGTGCTTTAAATGTATGTTGTGAATGTGACCATGGTGTCAATCATACAGATGACCACATGGGGCCTTCAGAGCAAAGGGGAGCAACATTTGGAGCCTCCTGAGAATTTAGGCCAACCACAGAATTTTGGGTTTCCTTGTTGCCAATTTCTTTTGAGAGGGATTTGTACTTGTCCAGCTTTTCAGCAGCATCTTAAGTCAGCATCTTAAAAAGCAGAGACATCACCTTGCCGACAAAGGTCCGTATAGTTAAAGCTATGGTTTTCCCAGTAGTGATGTATGGAAGTGAGAGCTGGACCATAAAGAAGGCTGATCGCCGAAGAATTGATGCTTTTGAATTATGGTGCTGGAGGAGACTCTTGAGAGTCCCATGGACTGCAAGAAGATCAAACCTCTCCATTCTGAAGGAAATCAGCCCTGGGTGCTCACTGGAAGGACAGATCCTGAAGCTGAGGCTCCAGTACTTTGGCCACCTCATGAGAAGAGAAGACTCCCTGGAAAAGACCCTGATGTTGGGAAAGATGGAGGGCACAAGGAGAAGGGGACGACAGAGGACAAGATGTTTGAACAGTGTTCTCGAAGCTACCAGCATGAGTTTGACCAAACTGTGGGAGGCAGTGGAAGACAGGAGTGCCTGGCGTGCTCTGGTCCAGGGGGTCACGAAGAGTCGGACACGACTAAACGACTAAACAACAACAAGCTTTCAAGGTGGTTTCAGGAACCGGTCCTCTTCCCGCCTTGTGATATCTCTTCTTCCACTACTCCAGCCCTCTCTGACTTCATCATCTCCATCCCCATGAGCTTTGCTTTCATTTCACGGAGGGTCATTTACTAGCATCGCCAGCTCATCGCAGGGCTCGTTTAGCAGCCAATTAAAACGCCAGAGATGTGTGCGAGAGAGTCAGTGCGTCATACGAGCCGGATCTGCCGCCAACACCACCTCGTCGACTTACGGTCTCAGTGGCACCCGCAGATGTGCATGCAATCATTCATCGCTGGGCCTCTCTGTGGACACTCCCTGATTTAAACATGTAGAAAGGGATGCTTCAAAACCAGAGAAAGAGGCTTGTTAAAAACAGATGCAGAGAAGAGGCAGAATAAGCAACTGGGTGGAAGGAGTTATGAAATATATGAAGCAGGGCTGCTGAATCCAGGGCCCTTCAAATGTTGCTAGATCACAGCTTCTGTTATCCTTGACTGTTGGCCATGGCAGCTGGGGATGATGGGACTTGGAGTCCATCCAAAGGCAACAAGTTCACCACTCCTGCATTTTATATAATAATAATATAATAATAATAATTTATTATTTATACCCCGCCCATCTGGCTGGGTTACCCCAGCCACTCTGGACGGCTTCCAACTGAATATTAAAAACAATACAGCGTCAGACATTAAAAACTTCCCTAAACAGTTGTCTTCTAAAAGTCAGATAGTTGTCTATTTCCCTGACATCTGACAGGAGGGCGTTCCACAGGGCGGGTGCCACTCCTGAGGAGGCCCTTTGCCTGTTTTCCTGTAACCTCACTTCTCACAGTGAGGGAACCGCCAGAAGGCCCTGGGTGCTGGACCTCAGTGTCTGGGCTGAACAATGGGGGTGGAGACGCTCCTTCAGGTATACAGGTATGCATTTTGCTCTCGTGGCTCCGTTGCTCAGGTGCAAACCATCCCTCGTGGTCCAAGAGCTGCAATTCCCAGGTAGAGCACCTGTCTGCATGAAGAACAGATGGTTTGCATGAAGGTCACTGGTTCGATCTGCAGCATCTCCAGGTAATGTTGCGAATTGAAATGTAGGAGAGTAGATTCTAGTTCAGTGTGCAGACAATACCACGATAGAGGGACACATGGTTCATAGGTTCTGTTCACCAATTCATAAACAGCAAGGTCATCCCAGCTCTTACACCACCCTAGGATTCTGGGTTGAAAGGTGGGGGGGAAATAAAGGCTTGATGAATACGCAAAACTATTTTGTGCTTGTTTGGGGCTCAAAAATGAACACATCAAAATGGAGTGGGTACTTCTGCCCTAGAGAGAACGCAAGAAAGTACTGTCTGTCCTGTTCCCTGTGGTTACTACCGACTGACCACGGATGATGCATTCTACCACCATGAAAACGGGGACATCCATTTGACACCCTGTGTGTAGCAGTCAGAGAACAACGAACAAAAGACTCTCGTAGTTAATATTATCCGCGGGGAACACATTAACGCAGGACACGAATCAGTAGAGAACATTCATGTAATGGGGAAAAGTGCTCTTTGCTTTAATAGGTATGCTCAAGTAGTGGTAGTAATACTAATAACAACAGATAATCCTAAAATAAGGACAGGCCAAACACCAGAACAGAGACCCAGCAGCTAAAAGCCTTTTGCTTCAGGACGCAAAAATGGGGAAACAGCCAAACTCTTGGCACCTGCAAGCAAAAATACTGACCGCAGCCAACTTGCACAGTTAATGTACTTTATATAGTTCATTTTGTTTATTTTTACATTTCTAACCCACCTTTCCTTTGTGGCTGGGACGGGATTTGAACCCTGACCTCCCAGGTCCTAGCCTGACGCTCTAACAACTACGCCACACCAGCTTGGTAGAGAGCAGTCCTTCATTCCAAGGAAACCAACTCAGGGCATGCACTGAACCCCCTCAAACTTCAGAGAATGGGGTGCATGTAACACGACAGCTGGCCATGCGCTGCTGAGGAACATGTTTTGCATTTTCCTCAGAATCGGCCGGTTTAAAAGCTTTTTTGCTATTCTGAGCAGCCTGTCTCTACACTGTACTGACAGTTCCCCAAGTCCCTTCAGCCGACCTTCCTATTTAGTGAAATTGCTGATCTATTTACCGCGGTCTCCTCTGGCGTCATCCAAGTGACTTGGAGGATACACTGGGCCTGCGCTGTCGATCCCAGCCCCCACCCCCCGCTGCGTCCTTCCTGCTAAGGACACGGTTATAGAGGAGACCAGGAAGCGGACGTTTCACCTTTCCAGCTCTGGAGATCACATGCACTGTGATCATTTGGCTCTAGATGCATTCTACATAGGTCAACATTTGCGTGGCAAGTTCCCGTCCCCACCCAGTGGAAATATGGGTGGGGACGGACACATGACACAATTATTAAGGTTAATGGGCTAAATAAGGCCACAACTTTATTGGTTACAGGTGATGAGCGGTATTGGCTTAGGCATTGATCCTAACCGACTATATCCAACTTCAGCCCGTCCGCTTGAAGCGGAAGGGTTAACCACCAGTAGGGGGAGTCCTGCTGATGCACATCAACTAGGAACTCCGAAGGGAGTTCCTCCAATAGGGGGTGTGCCTTAGGCCCTCACCTCCCTAGGCTTCGGACAGGGCCACGCCCCCCAGAATACTTTAGAGGACTACCCTTCAATATGTAAACCAAGGTACCACTGCAAATGTAATAAATAAATAAGTTTGAAAAGAGCAGAAACATGATGGACTCACATGATGGACCAACCCAGGTAGATCGTGGTGCTGCCCCAATACATGGGATTGTCCAACACGTTGAACGGAAAAGACGTCACCTTTGCCTCCATGAGGATGCCGAAGTAGTCCCCTAGAAAAGAAACAGACACAAGGATTAAGGCGGGGCTTGCCAACATGGTACCCATGTCTCCTTTAGGTGCCGGAGAAAGGACTCAGTTCCCTCCAAGATCCATAATGCACAAGGAGACAGCATGCTCCTTCTGATTTAATTCCACATGGATCAAGCGTCCCAATTTAAGAGGGACACCCTGGAAGTACAGTAGCTGTCCCAGTTTCCAATTTGATCCCGGAAGGTCCCGGTTTCCTTTTCCCCTCCCCCTCCATGTCCCAGAGAACAATTAAAAGTGATGGTAAGGCAGATTCGAGGATAAACCATACGTGGAACGAGTCTGCCCCTGTGGCCTGATAGAGGTAGAAACTGTCTCTCATGTCTTGTTACGCTGCCGTTTCTATGGGGATATACGCTCGGTATTTATCACTCCTGTCATACAAAAATCTCCAAATGGGTCCGAACTTCAATGTCTAAAACTCCTGGTAGAGGACAAGGACCCAGAGATCATGATAAAGGTGGCCAAATTCTGTGCGACTGCCATAAAACTCAGGGAACAAGCTGTACTACCAAAATGATTAAGGTTTTAAATGACAATTTTAGGTTATACTTTAGTGATCAAGATTTAATATATATTTTTAACTGCCACTATATCTGAATTGTTTCTGTTACATCCAATTGCAATTCAATGTATTCCTGTTGTGTTTTATGATTTTCCTGATACTGTAAGTGACTGGTCTGTGACCGTAATAATAAAATTCATTCAATTAAAAGTGATGTGCATGTATTTGTAGGTGCAAAACCAGAGTCCTGTTTATCCTGAAAATAAAATTCCTGCACAGAGTGAAGGAAATGGTGAAGCTGGCATATGAAGCCACTTCCTATAATTTTGAAGGAAAATGTCACCAGTCCACTTTATTTAATTGCAACACTTCAGCAGCCAGCCATTTTAAAAGGAAATGCGGGGAGCGTTTATTCCTTTATTGTAAATGGAGCCTTACACTGCCTACTCAGAAGTAAGTCCCATTGTAGTCAATGGAGCCTACTCACAGGTAACTGGGTAAAGACTGTGCAGCTTTCTGGGCACAAGATATAGGGTATAATATACTACTTGGAATCATGGGGAAAGCTGTGGAAAGAAAATTTAAAATTTACAGCATGCAGCTCATTGAAAGAAAATTATATGAAAATGATGTATAGATGGTATTTAACACCTGTAAAACTTGCTAAGATGTATAAAAAACTCATCTAATCTATGTTGGAAATGTAAGGAAAAAGAAGGTACTTTTTCCATATGTGGTGGATATGTAAAAAGGTAAAGGCTTCTGGGAAATGATATATAATGAAATAAAAAAGATGTTCAAAAATACGTTTGTTAAAAAACCAGAGGCCTTTTTACTAGGAACATTAGGAGATGAAGTACCAAAGAAGCAAAAGCGATTATTTATGTATGCAACCACAGCTGCCAGAACGTTACTTGCCCAGAAGTGGAACGAAGTGACCATACCAGTGAAAGAAGAATGTGAGGCAGGTTCAGTGGAGAGGTTGCCATTGGCTCAGGGTGACCAGCGTCAATGTGTATAGGATGTCAATCTTTGGCGAGGTCTAACGTGGGAGAAGCTTCGTGATGTAGAATAAGATGTCCCTATTTTCATCGATTTGCAATGACAAACCTAGACAGCATCTTAAAAAGCAGAGACATCACCTTGCTGACCAAGGTCCGTAAAATTAAAGCTATGGTTTTCCCAGTAGTGATGTATGGAAGTGAGAGCTGGACCATAAAGAAGGCTGATCGACAAAGAATTGATGCTTTTGAATTATGGTGCTGGAGGAGACTCTTGAGAGTCCCATGGACTGCAAGAAGATCAAACCTATCCATTCTGAAGGAAATCAGCCCTGAGTGCTCACTGGAAGGACAGATCCTGAAGCTGAGGCTCCAATACTTTGGCCACCTCATGAGAAGAGAAGACTCCCTGGAAAAGACCCTGATGCTGGGAAAGATGGAGGGCACAAGGAGAAGGGGACGACAGAGGACGAGATGGTGGGACAGTGTTCTCGAAGCTACCAGCATGAGTCTGACCAAACTGCAGGAGGCAGTGGAAGACAGGAGTGCCTGGCGTGCTGTGGTCCATGGGGTCACGAAGAGGCGGACACGACTAAATGACAACAAATTTTTACTTGAGAAATGTTGGAGGGTATGTAGTTCCAGGAACGGGTTCTTGCTTCCGTTAAGCTGACTGGGGCTCCGGCTGCACTGCATTTCTCAAAATGCACCACCGACCTCCTGCAAAGCAACTTCACATCTTCCTCTGCCTCCCCTCCACCTTTGGACATAACAGAGAGCTTGTTGCCAGCAAGATAGGGTTGCGAGACGTCCGTTTCGGAAGAGAAGGCAGATAAGGGCAGAAAGGAAAATTACTGGGAATGTGGGTAGCTGCTAAAGGAGCGAGAGAGCCCGGGACATGTTTATGTACTTAATTGGGATTTAGATTTATCGCCTGTCCGATCCCCAAAGGTGAAGGGGGAGTGATGATAGAAGAAACAATAATATAAAAATGTAAGAAAAAGTGGAATCTGCTACAAGATGTTGCAGTACAAAGTGCTTCTATTCAGGATCATAATTACTCATTTCATTACATTCCTTCCTACAGTTTTCAGCTCAGTCAGCCAAGGTTCTGCAGCCACTGAACATGTTGAGCTCCCCCAATCTTAAAGGTTCCCTCCAATTTCCCCCCTTCTTCTGCAAACTTTGAGGTTGCCACTCAGTCTGTTGATATCTTCCCCTTGTTTGTGGATGAGCCAGTTTTGGACATATAAGCAATGCACCACATCCTGAATGCTGGAAATAAGTGGGAGTAGTAGTAGTAGTAATAATAATAATAATAAATTTATATGCCACCCTTCTGATTGGGTTGCCCTAGCCACTCTGGGCGGCTCCCAACGAAATATTAAAAACAAAATAAAACATCAGACATTAAAAACTTCCCGATTCAGGGCTGCTTTCAGATGTCTTCTAAAAGCCTATGTTGTTTATCTCCTTGACATCTGATGGGAGGGTGTTCCACAGGGCGGGTGCCACTACCAAGAAGGCCCTCTGCCTGGTTCCCTGTAACCTCACTTCTCACAGTGAGGGAACTACCAGAAGGCCCTTGGCACTGGACCTCAGTGTCTGGGCTGAGCAATGGGGGTGGAGACATTCTTTCAAGTATACAGGTATTCAATTAAGTTTGCATTTAAAGACAAATGCCAACCCACACTTTCAGAAATGATATGTAAACCGAAACACAGCCACCCTTTGGAATTTGCAGTTCTTTGAATTTTTGCAATGCTGTTCTCCAGTCAGGTAATATATACGTATATAAATGCATACAGTATGGTAAAGTGTGCATACACCAGCAAAAATAACAAACTAAAATGCGTTATATTAGTAAAAATGGACTTTGCAAAACTGTGTTGATTGGGGGAGCTTGCATATTGCAAGAATGTGCATATTGCAAGAAAATCCTCATAAGTTTCCAAAAGTATTTTATCATCATTATTATATTTATTGCAAACTGATGTGCAAATGCGGAGAAATGAAACTAAGGCCTGAAAAAATGAGAAGCTGAAACTGACAGATCTGACCACTCCCTTTTGGTAACACCGAGAGGGAAGAGATGCAAAATGAACTAAAGGGGATATGAAAACTGCAAACGGAGTGTTCCAAAATTAAATTTTAGAAATTCTCTTAGGTGACCCATAATTTGCATGGCAGACTAATCCACAGCGGCGATAAAGGCACAGGAGAGGAAACAATCATTTCCTAACTTAGAGGGAGACGCTGATGGGACGAGATGGTAGCCAAACCATCAGCCTGGGCTCCGGGCGTTTGATCACAAGGGACTCTTGTGCTTCTCAGGTCAGATCGAGCCCCGCAGATCCCTTCCTGCTACAAACTGCCCCCCCCAAAAATGGCAAGCAAAAACCACCTGCCCCAACACCGTGAAACAAGCATTTTGGTGGCTTTTTTGGCATTCCGAGTGGCAACACACAATACCAGCCAAGCCCATCTAAAGTATGACTCAGCGGGCTGCGGCTCTGATTGCCAGGCAACAGAAAGCAATTGTCTCTGGCGGGTAAAACTTTTCCTCCCTGCTATGTCATTAGCCCACTTAGCCGCCTATAGCAACGACCCTGTGTTTGTGTGTGTGTGTGTGTGTGTTTAATCGGACAGGGGGCCATTCATTCTTGGAAGTTGAAATGTGTTTCTTACACGGCATGAGGCCAGGGAAATTGACAATTTGACCCAGGTAGTAATAGTAACAAATTACAGCGCTTTGTTCTCTCAGTGGCTGCCTTTTAGCCCGCTATCTGGAAACACTTTGCTAATGTCAATTAAGCGCAGATTTGAAAAGAAGTGTCAACTTCGTAGCGTGAGGGGGGCAAAACGAACCGGGTCGTGTTTTACGTGACTCACTCCCAGGCCATAATTTCTACTTTTCGAAAGCACTTTTGATATCCAGCGCACTTTAGAATCCTTGATTTGTTGAGCGAGAGAGAGAAAACTCATTAAGATTCCTGCATTCTTTTCCTCCCCCATTTAGCCGGGCACAACCTTTCGACATCTCACTTTTCTTGGAAACATTCAAAGGGGCCTATAACAGAAACCCATGTCCAGGCACAGCGCTCAGAAAGTACAGGCAGATGAACAGGGTCTGTGGGTGGTTTCAAGGGCCCTTGAACTGCAATGATCTGAATGCCAACAGCAGCTGCTGAGTAGATATTGGATCTGGCCACAGTGACCTATGTCTTAAGTTATATCCCCTCGAATTACTGTGACGTGCAATACGTGGGCTGCCTTTGAAAAGGATTGAGGCTTTGCTCGAAATGGACTGCAGCTTAACAAATAATAATCTATCAGTCATATCTGTACCATAGATTTAAAGTACCTCTACTTATGTATCCCTCTGGATACGAAATCTTCAGGTTATGGCCATGGCAAACCAGGAAGTGTATACTTCCAGGTTTTGCAGCACGCGCAT